CTCTCTCTCTCTCTCTCTCTCTCTCTCTCTCTCTCTCTCTCTCTCTCTCTCACAAGTGTGGCTACTGTTCTCTCTCTCTCACGTCGGGCTGACCTCCCCTCCACAACCCCTTCTCAGACTCAGACTTGGCCAGCCGTAAGTTGGTGCGACCGACCGACCGATCTCTCTCCGTAGTTTCAAGCGAAGGATATCGATTTTCGTTTTGTGGGGCGGTCTATGTGTTCGCTAGTACGTGTGTGTTTGTGTGTGTGTGCGTCAGTGTGTGCTGTTCGCCAGTGCGTACGCAAAGGAGGGACTTCAGTGAGTCACACACACACACGGTGGAGACCAGGGAACGTGTGTTCATGAGTGTGTAAGTAAGTGTGTAGATATGCGTGTGCGTGTGTCGCACTTGCAAGCTTACCTTACCTTGTCACTGTCTTGATCTTGATCTAGAATCTAGATCTAGATCTAGATATTTAGACCTAGATCTAGGCCTAGAGGTTTAGTAAAGGCCTGTGTTCTTGCTCGGGTGTGTGTGTTGAAGATCTTTTCGTGGATGGTGGAGTTTGGAGTAAGATTTCTACGGCACTTGGACTTGGAATACAATTTGGTCAATAAATTAGCGCCGAAGTTTAGAGGTGTGTTACTGTAGAAAGATCTTGTTTTAGTTCGTAAAATCCCAAAAGTTTTAAGGCACTTTCAACACAGTAAGTAAACTACTAGCACATAATTTAAAGACAGTGCCAAAGATTAGAGGTGTCTTAACGATCTATCCAGATCTAGATCTAGATCTAGAACGTACAAAGAGAAGAAGGGGCGATTTTTATTTAAGGCAAATTAAGGGTGATAGATCTAGAAATCTAGATCTACAATCGTAACAATCTAGTCTAGATCTAGATCTATGTGTGTGATAGGAAAGAAGGAGCAGACCAGATCAGAGCACCCGCCAACCGCCCATCCCGTGGATTAATTCAGTTACAGGAGTTTACAGGAGGACTTAATTTACTGGACGTGTGATTCTGTGTGTGTGGGGAGTACCGTTGACCTTGTTGTTGACATTCCTGAAGGTATCACGTGGCTGGTTGGAGAATGTGTGTGTGTGTGTGTGTGTGTGTGTCTCTGCGTGTGTGTCTGTGTGTGTGTGTATCTGTGTATGTGTGTGTGTGTGTGTGTCTGTGTGTGTGGAGTAGGCCTAGAGAGCCAAGTTGTTGACATTCCTCAAGGTATCACGTGGCTGGTTGGGGTATCATGTGTGTATATATATATATGTGTGTGTGTGTGTTGTTGTTGTTGTTATAGTAACGGAACGCCGTTCACAGTTTCTGTAGTAGTGTCACACTTTCTGTAGGCCTATAATGAGACCGTCACAGTTTTTGTGGTCACACCGTTACACTTTGTTGTCACACTGTTACAGTTAGGTTCTTCGTCATAGTTAGTTTCTCTGTCACAGTTAGATCTAGATATATAGTTTCTGTGGTCACAACGTCACAATTTCGGTGGTGCGCGGTCACAATTTCTGTAGGCCCAGTTACACCGTCGCAGTTTCTGTCTGAAGCACACCGTCATGGTTTCTTTAGTCATACCCGTCTCCGTTTCTGTAGTGACATCGTCACAGTTTAGTCACACCGTCACAGTTTCTATGCGGGCGGGTGCTCTGGTGTGGTTTGCTGCTTCTTCTTTCCTATCAAACGTCTATCGTCCTTATCTCCCCTCCTTCTTTTTTGTGTTTGTTAACTCTCTTGTAACACCTCTAATCTTCGGCACTTATATGACCTTATTGTGTTGCAAGTGCCGTATTTACTAAAACTAAAAAAACCAACTGTTTCTATGGCATGGTCACTCCATCACAGTTTGTGTAGTTACGGCGTCACCGTGTGTGACAGAGACCACTGTGTTTGTCACTGTTGTTTTCAGATCGCCTTGTGCTGATCGTCACGCATTGACGGACCAACTATTTAACTATTATTTTGGAAGGGTTATTGTGTTATTAATTTGATTATTATCAATATTATTATTATTATTATTATTAATTATTATTTAATTAAGTATTATTATTAC